GTTATGATGGCCTTGACTGCTCAACCCACCCTGCCGTGTTCCGATTCACTCCTCTTGAACTACACCGTTTACGTGATTTTTACCAATGTAACAAAAGTAATGGTATCTCAAAGGAAAAGATCATATTTGAATACTGCGCGATTTAATAATCAAATAATGATAATAATCAAACACAAGGTTCCTAGCACTAGCTTTATCATAAAAATCTACTACGGGAACTTACACCGCCGGAGAATATTGCACTGGAAAGTTTTATATTTTATATAATTGAGTGTACAAGTTTAGATAGTTATCTACAAAGCTTGACTTACTCCTCAATTTGAAACGTTTGCTGTTGCTTCTAGATGAATGATAATTCAGCACCAAGTGTTTCTGAAAAACGGAACACAGCACCTGTTTGTGCAATCGTGTTGGGAATGGCCGGGTCCGGAAAGACTACATTTGTCAAACAACTTATTACTTATTTGGAATCACGTGACAAGCATGTGTACAGCATCAATCTGGACCCAGCCGTTCACATTGTCCCGTATCGGACGAATATAGGTAATACATCTAGTTCTATTGTGATTTGCTGTGTAACGCACCACAGATATTCGTGATACGGTCAAATTTAAGGAAGTCATGAAACAGTATGGATTTGGACCTAATGGGGCCATTATGACTTCTCTGAATTTCTTCTCATCGCAGTTCAATAAAGTGGTTGATTTGATCAACAAGAATGCAGAAAAAGTCTCGTTTGTCGTACTAGATACCCCGGGCCAGATTGAAGTGTTCACATGGTCTGCCTCGGGTACAATCATTTCTGAATCCCTGGTAAGTTAGTGTGTAAATGAACACCATTTATCCTACTTTTTCTAGGGTTCGGCATTTCCGACGATCGTGATCTATGTGATGGACACTCCTCGAAGTCACAATCCGGTTACCTTCATGTCCAATATGCTCTACGCATGTAGTGTGCTATATCGTCTACAACTACCGTTTTTAGTTGTATTGAATAAAGTAAGTAGTGAAAAAGCATATTTCCTGATCTGTTGGATTTTCTCCGGTGACATTCATGCTTATGTGTTAACTGCAACCCCATATGATTCCATGGAATGTCAGAAAATCGAAGTCAGATGAAGTTCAATTTTCGGGTCCTCTAGGTTGGGTTGTCGACTAGAATGGGCTTCTCAGTAGTAGAAGAATAGTAGAAGAATAATCGATCTGAATTAATCGGCCTCCACTTTGCTTTACCCGTTGCCTTGCGGTCAGGCTCTTGTTATAACTAAAGGTTTTCGTTGATTACCCTAATCGTTATGCTTATTGGTTGGACATCCTAATAGTAACCGTACATCAAACTCTATTGCATATACAAATTAAACAATTGCGTACTGCATCGGTTGTCATGTCGGATAATCAGGACCGCGCTGCCCATTGCATCGATAATTGAGCTACTGCTCAGAAATCCCCTCCTTTGTTCAGCTTTTGTCTTCTGTGTCCAACTTTCTCTCTGCTCCTTCTTCCGACCCATAAAATTCCATCTGACAACTTGTTTGCCACTGGTTGAAGCTTGTTGCCAAGTGGTTTACCATCAAATAATTTGCAGATTCGGATGCAGGTGGGCCAACAATCGTGTCATGTGCCTATAATGAACTCTTTGGAATATGATGTTTGCTACGTGTTGGAGATACATAGCCAGGTTCCCAGTAATGTAAGCCACAGAAGTATGCCGGGTTTGTTTTCGCGTTACTTCCTTTGCACATCAGGCGGAGATAAAGCTCGCTCTGAAAATCAGTGTGGTGTAGGAGTTGTGCTAAACGATAAAGCTGAAGCCTTACTGATAGATTGGATACCGTCATCAATCTTTTGAGCGCAAATAAGCTCCAGGGTTCATCTAATGTTCGGCAGGGAAGCAACACCAAAAGGTGTTCAGCATTTCTGCATATGCACCTACCAACTGAAGTTCCAATTCTGACGTAGTCCTGGCCGGGGATTTTAACGTACAGGTTGGAAAACGGAGCGCATCCGAACCCTATCTAGGGTGGCTCTTCGCTCTTCCCGCCCAGCACTAGCACTAAATTTCGGCACAGCTCTCTTCGAACGACTACATAATGGTCTAGTTTAAAGAGTAAGTTGATCCAAATTGACCACCTGGCTGTAAGCTACCTTTGGCGTGATTCAGTACAAAATTGCATATCCTATTGGACCACTTGTGTTGTGTTTGATCACGCACTAGTTCTGATGCGCTTCACGCTTGTGGGGCCGATACTGCAGTTCGCCGAAGAAATTGGATTTCTCAGGAGTCAGAAATTTTGGTGGATGTAAAGCGAAAGATCCCAATCTGCTGGGATCAGTACGGGGACCGGTGGCGCCTGCAGCACCAACTCAGGAAAAGCCTTGAGAAAGTTTGCGAAAACTGGTGGGCCAAAATTTCTAGCGAAATGGAGGTAGACAGTTAATAATCCATAGGTGTTCCGGATCATTTCGAAAAATTTGGGCGTTGTGCTCATGGCAACAATAGAATCAGGTTTGTTTTAGCCACAAATAGAGCCTACCGTCTACCCACAACAAGGCGGGATAGACGTGCGGAGGCCCAATTTGTTAGACGAGAACTAGCAGCTAACGATTTTCCGAATAACCTTCTATACAAGACACAAGGCAAAGCGGTCGATCACATGTAACCCATGGAAAAAGTCTGATGGG